TTACAATGAGGAATTTGCACATTTTTTTCTTATTCTCTAATAAATTCTTCACATCATAAAAAGTCACTTGCCACATTAATTTTAAATTTTCAACTAGGTAATAGTTTTTCTGTAAAAAAATATAGAAATTCAAAATAACTCTCTTCGCGCCAAAACGCAGTCGTAAATTAATGACGTCACAAGACGATATCCTTCCAAGCGTCAAAACGAGTCTCTGTTAGGGATGTGCCCGGATGTGCGATGTTCATCGATTATTGAAAAACATCGATGTTTAATACCCGATGTTTCGACATCGATGTTGAAATTTTAAAATATCGATGTTATCATCGATGTTGATTGTAAAAATCGACAATAAGAAAAGGATTTAAAGATAACTTTTATTTTGAACCATATATGTAATTTCCACATTTCTCACTAGTTTAAAGGTTCGGAAATGTCACTTTACCTTTGTTTACTTTTAAAGCAGGCCGAAAGTGATGGTTCTCCTGTCACTTTCGGCCTGATAAATTGTTCTTTCACACCTAAACATAAATCCAGGTGCAATAATGTTTGTATTTAGAAGTAGATATCACATGTGCTGCACATTGCAAATGTGTTTATATTGTTGAAATTTTATAAGATGTCAATGTCGGAGTGAGAGTGTCATTCGAAATTTCATTTTTGTCATATTTTTGCCTTAATTTTTCAATAATTAATAGTTCAAAATAAAATAGTATACATATTTCAGTGGAAAGTTTTCACATATATTGTCTCGAGAATTGGTTGTATTATTTATTATTATATTTCATTTTATTATTAAAAGTTTTTTAAAAATAGAAATTTTCTTGGTTTTCTCTATGTTACCCTCAAAACATCGATACCTCGGTTGCATCGATGTTACCATCGATGTCCAACATCGACATCTGTGCTCGATGTCGCATCCCTAGTCTCTGTACTCCCTCCCTGTCTTATCCATTGTTAATTTTGTTTTATGTCATTGTTTGTGGGATTTACTTGTGTGGTTTATTTTGTTGTCAAGTTTCCCCTCGTTTTTATTTTAATCGGTGACTTCACCGATGAGTTAGCTATCTTTGTTTAGTGAATGGAAAATGATAATGACCGACATACAATGGTGGATCCATCGGTAGAATGCTATGTATACACAAGCGTCTGACGGCTTACGTTTTACGTTAACATAACCACACTTTTGTTTGTTTATCGTTTGATGACGTCATAACCAATTCTAGAGCATTTTCGCGCCCATTATTTTCAATACTTGATTATATAATTATTTATTAATGGTTCAGTTTAAAGAGGATTTATATATAGAATAGTACATTAAAATACAAGTTTCATAAAATGTCTTATGAAACGAATATTTTATACTATTTTTTCTATTTTGGTATTGTTTAGTTAAAAAAACAAATTTTTTTTGGAAATTTTATTCTCATATTTCCTAATTTTATATGTTTAGGTTGGTAACACTACGTGCCAAATATAGAAATCTTCTATTATAAAATCGTGAATGACAGTTCGATGGCCATCAGTCAACCTCTGATAAGTAAAAAAGGAGTGTCACAAAGAGCTTCTTTTCGAAACTATTTTTAGTGTCGAAAAGACTTCGATATGACACCAAAATAGAAAAATATATTTCTGGAGTATTTTGCTCCACTTTAAATACATTTTACATCAAAATAAAATTTTATGCAACTTCCTCATTAAATAACCTGAATTGTATTGGTAATCCAAACTTCCTATTGGTTGAGACGCCCTACCTGGGGCCCGATTCTCGTTCTTAGGGAGAAGAGCTCCGCGAGAGAACGAATTTTTTGTCTTTGTCAACATAATCGAGAAGTGAACGAGAATGATAAAGTCGAAAAATTTGTTCTCTGGGGGAGCTCTCCTCTCCCTGAGACGAGAATCGGGCTCCAGGACCAGTGCGCATGTACGGCAATGCACGAAGAACATTTGATAGGTTGTAATGAAAATGACCAGTTATGCCATTACTGCCGCTTAGATTTGGTTCAACTATAGACTCTAAACTGGAACAAGATTAGGCATGACGAGACATTTGCGAGACTCTCGTACAAGACGCGAGACGAGACGAGACAAGACTTTTATTTTATCGGCGAGACAAGCATAGGCGCCGGCAGGGGGGGGGGGAAAAATCGGGCATTTGCCCCCCCCCTGGATTCAGAAAGTTGAATTATACAGCAAAATCAAAATATATTTATTTATTATAAAATAGTACGACGAGCGAAATTTGATTGTTCTTATGGAATAACTTGAAATTTTAGTGGAATTCCGAAGAATTTCATGAAATTTCATTGTGTAATACCGAATAATTTTTAAACAAGAATTTCATTGAATTTTATGGTGGAATTTCATGAAATCTCATGGTTAAATTTGGAAAAGTATTATGAAATCTTATAGTAACATTTTTAGGAATTTACGTTTTTCCAATTGAATGGGAATTCGAGGAATTTCATAAAATTTTGTAGTGAAATTTCTAGAAATTTTCGTTTTTCCATTCAATGGAATTTCGAGGAATTCCTTAATTTAGTAAAATACTGAGGAATTTAAGTAGAATTATGTTATTTCGAAAAAGGAATTACATGTGAAATTTTTGTGGAGTTTCCCTAGAATTCACATTAAATTATAGTTCCTCTCGAATTACATGAAATTTCAGTGGAATTTCGATCGAATTATACCGAAATTCCCAATATGAAATTGTAGCGCTTATTTCAAAAAATTACATGAATTCCGAGGAATTTTCGTCGAATTATATGGAGCTCCGATGCAATTGCATAGAATTCCAAGGAATTGTTAGGAAATTACATGAAATTTAAGTGGAAATTTGAACAACTCTTGTCATTTTATATGGGATTCCAGTGAAATTTAGAGAAATCCTAATGTAATTACATAAAGTTTTTTTTTGTTCCGAGTAATTCCCAGTTAAAAACATAGAATTTTAGTAAAATTCTTAAAAATTCCTATCGAATTACTGAATTTTAGTAAAATTACAGAAAATTTCCCAAGTGGAGTTCCGACGAACTTCCAGCAGTAATATAACTAGTGCATAAAATATTTCCACAAATTTTTGAAAATTTTGTCTGAAAAGACTAAAGACGAAATTTTAAAAAATTTCCCTTAGGAAATATTTTATGCACGTGTTATATTTTGATAGGAAACTCTATGATAGGAAATTTCCCGAGTTTGAAGTTTATACGTTGTGTCAAATATTTTAATTATGGTAATGTGTTCTGTGATTAAATTGCGTTTGTCAAAAAATATACACTTTGACAGATTTCTGACATCAATGCGTTTTAAGTGGAAAAGCTGGTCTCAATGCCAAAAATGACAATTCTGGAAATTGCACCCGGAAACATCCCACTCACCAGGGATATTTCCACTTATCAATTTTTGAAAATTACGAGGTAAATTTCCAGTTAAATATGCACAAGGGAAATTTCCGGCTAAAAATTTGGAATTTCGATGTTTGGAAAAATTCTCGTGTTTCCGATATGAAATTTCAATATATTTCGGTGAATTTCCAAGAAATTACTTAAACTTTTATTAATATTCCCGAGAATATTCCCAGGAATTCTTGACTATTCAAAGAGAATTTCAGTGAAATTTCGAAAAATTCTTATGGAAATAAATGAAATTTTGAAAAAAAAATTGATTATTCATTGGAATTTTGAGAAAGTTTCGACTAATAACGTAGAAGTTCAGTGAAATTTCAAAAAATTATAAAATTTTAGTGAAATTCCGAAGAATTTCTAAAAAATTACATGAAATGTCAGTGAAATTCCGGACAATTTTCTGAAAATTTTGTGGAATTCCAGGATATTTCAGTGGTGAAGTTTTGGGGAATTTCAGTAAAGTTTTAAAAAAATAATGGAATTTGGAATTTTTATAGAATTCGTAGAATTTCCATCAAATTATATACAGGATGTCCACTTAGTGCGATATCGGACGATATCTCCTTACAGGGTGATGCAAGAAAAAAAATTTAAATTACAAAGTTGTTTGATACTCTAATATACATTAGTTTAAAATACATATTTCTGAATATAAAGGTTGCTCCGTTTATGAGGTATACGACAGAACTTTGTTATCTTGAATGGAACACCCTATAAATGATTGCATATTTGGATTCTACATAAAATTTTGAGCAGATTTTATGTAATATACCCTATACCTATAAGTTCAACTGTTTTGGAAATATTGACAGTTGAAAATTGACTTTTTGCAACTTTGACAGGCTGTAAAACCTAAATAATTAATTTTAAAGGAAACCCGATTTCACATTCTTATCTTAGATTTTCATAAACTATCATTTAACACCAACTTTGAAATTGACCGGAGATTAAATTTAACTGTAATTTTTAATCATGGATTAAATTCAAAGTTGGTGTCAAATGAAAGTTTATAAAAATCTAAGATAGAAATGTAAAATCGGTTTTCGTCTAAAATCAACCGTTTAGGTTTTACAGCCTGTCAAAGTTGCAAAAAATCAATTTTCAACTGTCAATATTTCCAAAACAGTTGAACTTAGGTATAGGGTATATTGTCCATTTGAAAAACCAAAGTTCTGTCGCATACCCCATAAACGGAGCACCCTGTATATTCAAAAATATTTTGAACTAATGCATATTAGAGTCACAAACAATTTTGTAATTTTTTTTTTTTTTCTTGCATTACCCTGTAAGGAGACATCGTCGGATATCGCACTGAGTGGACACCCTGTATATATAGGGATATTTTATATTATCCGTTCACAATCAGATGTCCACAGGTACAGGTAAAATGTATCGCGTTTCAATGCTATTTGATAGGGAAAGGTGATAAATTTACCTGCACCTGTGAACATCGGATTGTGAACAGGATATAGCTTCTGGCAACCTATTGTATTGATGGTTTGAGACAAGACTGGCAAATTCTCTAATTATCTAATATTTTAATTTAAGTAATTTCTACATGTGACAGTACCTTATATAGAAATGTTTTTTGGGAAGGTTTTAGAATGTCTACAAACCGAAACCAATAAGCTGACGGACAAATGCGAAAAAGAAGTATTTAAAGTGAAAAAACAGGAAATTTACGATAACACTTTGGATTATGCTCTGATTACCATGTGCTCAGGTGCCATAGAGCAATTTTGCTCGCACCAAGACAAAGAAAATGTGTTCGAGTGTCTAAAGGTAAGCAAAACATTATTAACTAACAATAATTAAAGTATTGTTTTCACATAGAAAAATCGTGACGAAAAAGGGTTCAGCAACAAATGCAAACTAATAGTAACCCACCGCATCATCGAGCAAAACTCCAACTACCAACTGAACCCATCCTTGCAGCAAAACTGCAACATCGACATCAACAAATTCTGCAAAAACCACCTAATCAACGGCCACGGCAAAGAGACCAACGGTGTCGTCATCAAATGCCTAAAAGAACAATTCAAACTCTCTCGTTTAAGCAACAAATGCGAAAAAGAACTGGCCTCGATTTTACGAGAACAAGCCTTAAATGTCAATTTGAATCCGCTAATACGTACAGTGTGCAAAAACGAATTGGCCACGATTTGCAAATCGGACGAAGAAGATTCAGACGGTGACAGTGAAGAGTGTTTGAAAGATGCCTTGTTGAACAGCCGAATTCAGACTCCTGAATGCAAAGTGGAAGTAGCTAATATGATTGAAGAATCTCAAGCCGACATACAGGTGGATCCTTTGTTGCAGCACGCCTGCGCGTACGATTTGTTGAATTTTTGCAGCGACGTTCCACAAGGAAACGGAAGACGTAAGTGATAAGTCTGTTCACACAGCAATCACAAACCAGTTGAAAACAGCCTGCAAACTAGTTTCAACCAACCAATGAAATTCATTCTAACTGGTTTTTGATTGCTGTGCGAACAGACCTTTTTGTTAATGAACTTGAACTGATTAATCAACTTTGCAAGTGTCACATTCAAAGGAATAAACATCCGAATGTGTTATCATGAGACTCTTCAAATAGACTTTTAGTTTGAATTTTGCTTTGCAAGTGTCACATTCGAAAAGATAAATATTTAAGTGTGTTGATAGATGAGTCTTCAGATGGGCTTTAAGTTTATATTTTACTTTACAAGTGTTACATTCGAAAGGATGAATATCTAAGTGGTTGATAGGTGAATCTTTAAATTACCTTTTTGTTTAAATTTTACTTTACAAATGTTACATTCGAAAGGATAGATATCCGATTCAATATTTGTGTGTGTTGAAATGTGCACAGAACTGACAAACTCTGTCCCCTTAACCGTGCGTTCGTTATTTTGGTCTGAGTTCTCCGAGCTTGACTTTACCGTTCGTTTATTTAAAAAGTGTACTCGGTGCAGCCTCATTCGCGTTCGTTTATTAAAATTTCCGGTACTTTTATACAGCTTTCAACTGCTCCGTTCGCTCGCTGGTCACGTGATTACGGCTTCGCTCAGCTCGCTCTACACTTTGAGCAAAATACCGAACGCAAGGTAAATAACGAATTTTTTACACTAATTATCGTACCATTTCAGACATAAACTGTTTGAAATTGATGTTGGACTTGAACAAGAAATTGCTGCCCAAATGCAAAAATATGCTGAAAAAAAGACTGGAAATGTACAGGAACGCTGCACTGGTCAGTATATTTTGTTTCATAGCAAATTCTATTAATAAAACAAATATATTTTTATCTCTTTCTTATACAAACTAATAGAAAAAGATACAAATACTCTTTCACTTATATGAATTATTCTCTGATAGTTGTCGCCGATGGGTCCTCCGCCAGACTTGCACCAGCTCTACAACCAAATGGCAGCTTCTCCGTCGCGCCAGTACTTCTTCCTTGTCATTTTGACATTTATCGGTACCATTTTTTTAGTAGGCATCATGTGCGGTCGGTTGAACAAACGAAAATATATGCTGTTAAAGTCGAAATAATAATTGTGCCCAAAGAGCTGATCTGATTCACCCATTCACAAACTGTCTTGCTTCTTTAAGCACAATTAAAAAAAGACACCATTACATCAGCTGGTGATTAGGGTTAATTGAATTAGCGTTTTCGTAAAAGCCTACTGTGTACAGTTTTCAATTTGATTGTTGCAATGGCAGCCAAAAAAATTATTATTATTGTGATACAAAGCTACAATTTTTCTAAAAATAATTAATAAGTCATTACACAATAGTTGTATTCCTTTCAAGTTGGGCTACTTACTCCGGTGATGCGTGGTGCAACAAACACTTTTCAAAAAGAATAAGTATGTAACACTCTGGAGCGGAGCTCCTCCTAGATGTTAAAGGAATACAACTAATATTATTTTATTGTTTTCAGGGACGTTATAATTGTGTGTTTTAATTATTATTAATGTAGATGTTGTATAGAAAAAATAAAACGAAATATTTTATTAATGAGATTGGATGTAGGCATTATTGAAATATAACTTTTTGATTAAAGAAAATATATAGTTTTAACACAGTTAGACAGTAGCTGACGTCACAGAAATAACCTCACTTTCGATGGGGGGACAAAAAAAGCATTTAAGAACTATTTACACACATCGGTTAGGCGCTAGCTATTGCGTCACAAATCACATAACACTACTTTCGCTAGTTTTCGAGACAAACAAACGATATTTATATTCATTTGCGGTTGTCCCCCCATCAAAATTGAGGTTATGTGTGTGACGTGAACTAGTGCCTGATTAATTCAAAAAATTGTGACTGAAGTTCAAATTTTCGTGTTGCAAAAGAGACAAAGCTTTGGATGTGTGATGAGAATGGGAAAGAGAGAAAATGGAATAATGAATTGAATAAAGTGTATTCTCCATTTTCATTTGAGCACAGATTTGTCAAAAATCATACCGTGTGACGTCACTACAGATATCCATCTAATGTTAATTTCATTTGAATTTGATTAAAAACCAATTCGTCTGATGTTATGACATTTCCTATTGGTAGATGTGATGCGCTGTAAGTGTATTTCCATTTCTTTTGCTCAGCCTGTTGAAGAAACACATATAGAATATTACGTTATATTTAGGATGACGTCACATTTAGTAAATTTCTGCTACCAACCTAACAAAACTAAAAATACTTTTTAACGCATTTAAAGTAGGGAAATTTCAGATATTTTTGGTTGGAACTGATTGTTGTCGATTTGGACCAATCAAAAACGCTCTGACTGGTTCGTGATTTCTGTGGAAACATTTTTCATTCAGCTGTCATCAAAATTATTGACACATGATATCATTGTCTATCCTTTTTCTATGACGTCATCCCAAATATAATGTAAATAACCAAAAGAAATATATTTACTCTGCACAAATTCTACCAACCAAATTCAGTTGATTAGAAACCAATTATACGGCAGTGTTGCCAACTGTTTTCTGTATTATTAAGACAGAATTTTCTCGCTCTCTTCTTCCTTTTTTCTGCCTCTATTTTTTTTTCCTTGTTTCTCTCTTCCTTCTGTCTTTCTGGTTTATATCTTCTCTACTCTTGCTCTTTTCTGTCTTTTCTCTTTCTTTCTCCTCTCTATCTTCTCTATCTTTTTTTATTTCTCTTCTGTCTCTTCTTTCTCTCTTCTCTGTCTCTCTCACGTAAGTATCCACTTTTATCAATGTACTTTGCCACATATGATATTTTTTTGGTGAGAAAACAAAACCCTTGAACACTTGATCTTTTTTTCAAAATTACATATACTTTTCTCTTTCTAACACACTTTTTCGATCATACTCTTGTCTCTATTGTACTTATTTGTCCTAAATAAAGATAGGTACCAAAAATCGCCCTAAGGTCCGGTTTATTCATCTTTAGATGAACTTGCTGGTAATTATCTGACTGATAAATTTACCATTCTATAATTCTGAGGGCTGATTTATTCATCTTCTGGTATACAATTTGACGGATGAAAACACAATTTGTAATCCCATTGATCGGCCAGTTATCCGCCGATCAATAGAATTATAAAATGGTAAATTTATCTTGCAGATAGTTACCAGCAAGTTTATCTGAAGATGAATAAATCCGCGCTAATGGTCGGAAGTTAACTGGCTAACCAATGCGATTACAGATTTCGTTTTTAACCACCGGATTGCATACTTGTTTATCAGAATATGAATAAACCGATACTTTGGCATGGCCGTTTCCACCAACTATTTTAGGGAACAATAAGTATTCCCTAAACTGACATTTCTCCATGGAAAACTGTCAGTTTAGAGAATACTTATCGTTAAGGCTTCCCTAAAATAGTTGGTGGAAACTGGAAACGGCCATTAGTGATTTTTGAAAGCCGTAGCATTGATTGGCCGTAGTTTATGAAGTTTTTGTCTTGCAAGAGAGATAAATTACATGACTATAATAAGAAAGACAGAGAAAGAGTAAAATCCCCTGTAATCATTATTAGATGCTTATCTGACGCGTTTGATTATGTTTTTCATATTATCAAGACATAATTATTTATTTTTCTTGTCTCTCTAATTTCTGTCTCTCCTTTTCCTCTCTCTTTTTCTTCTCATTATTTTCCAGTTCTCTTTCTTATTTTTCCTGTCTTATCTATCTCTATTTTTTTCTCGTCTCGCTTTTTCTTTATTTCTCACTACCTCACTACTTTCTCTCCCAGTGGTTTCCCTTGTCGACCCTGTCACTGTTTTGTCTCTTCTCTTTCTTTCTCTCATGTCATGGAATTGGTAAGTATTCACTTTTATTAGTATACATATTTGGATTGTTTCAAATTCAAGTTACATCATTGAAATCTTGGAAACAGCGAGACATACCAAATAATTTTGTAATACATGGCAACAGTGGCAAGTGAAAGTTATTAGGTATTTAACTTTACGGTGTTGCCAAGTGTAATAAAGGAGACAAACGTGAAAATCATTTTTAGACTGGTGGACATTTTTAAAAATTTTACTCCGAGCGGCATTTCGTGCGACATTCGGCAACTTGACGTTTTCTTCCGCTGAATCCGGATGTTGCCAAGCCGAATTTTGCCTCCAAAGGCCTAAAATCCAAGATGGCGGCCGAACTAAGGGCCTAAATGACATTTTTCTTAAAGTGTATCGTTACTGACCAGCGAGATATCGTTTCATATGTTTTTGGGGTCGCTAAACTTAAATATGAGTACCGGAAGTCAATTCGGATACCGGAAGTACCATAATTCAACTTTTTAAAGTTTGATATTTCGGCTCCAACCGGTCGCCATCTTGAATTATGTTACTTCCGGTATCCGAATCGACTTCCGGTACTCATATTCATCTATTCATGTTCAGCGACCCCAAAAACATATGAATTAGATTTGAAGCCTTTAAAGACAAAATTTGGCTTAGCAGCATCTGGATTCGGATTCAGCAGGGTCAAAATACCCTAGAAACGTCAACTTGCCGAATGTCGTACGAAATGCCGCTCGGAGTAAAATAGAGTATTCCTGGGAATGTCCACATTGTCCACCAGTCTGGAAAGTGACAACTATATTTGAATTCAAAGTTTTGCCAAATGTGACAAGGTAACTATCTGCAATTTGAATTTACCGTTCTTTAATAATTTTATTGGTTGGCGGATAACTAACCGACAAATGGGATTACAGATTGCGTTTTTATTTGTCAGATTGCAAACCTGACAATTAATCAGAAGGTGAAAAAACCGGCCTGTAATATGGATCAAGGTTGTTCAAAACAGGTAGATTGCCTTAGTAACTTTTATGACGTTATTTGTATGTCTAAACATGCATGATCTCCATAAAAACCACCTGATGACGTCATCTGTTTGCCATTACCAGACAACCTATTACAAGCAATAGAGGTAATGTATTTCAAAAAAAGTTTCATATCGAAATTTAGTTGTTTGAAATGTTGCAGAGAGTTCAAAAATGTTCTGGAACATTCTAGAATGTTTCCAAAAATTCTGAAATGTTCCTAAAAATTCTCAGAACTCATTGGAACAAATTGAAAACTCATTGGAAAAAAATTTAGATTGTTTAAAAAAATTCTAGAATGTTCCAAAAAAAGTTTAAACTCAAAATTGAGTGGTTCGAAATATTGTAGAGAGTTCAAAGATGTTTTGGAACGTGCTCGAATGTTTCTAAGAATTATCAGAACCCGTTGGAACAGAATGAAAACTCGTTGGAAAAAAAATTAGATTCTTTCAAAAATTCTGGAATGTTCTAGAGTATTCTAAAAAAAGTTTTAACTCTAAATTGAGTTGTTCGAAATGTTGCAGAGAGTTCAAAAATGTTCTTGAACATTCTAGAATGTTCTCATAAATTATGAATTATTGTTGGAGAATGTTCTTAGAACTCGTTGGAACAGATTGAAAACTTGTTGGAAGGAATTTAGATTGTTTCAAAAAATTCTGGAACGTTCTAAGCAATTTAGGGGGGTCTTTATTGAACCTCAATCGCGCTATTTTTCTCTCTCTGTCTCACGCACTGCTGACTGTTTTTCTCTCTCGCTTGGTTGAACTCAAGTTGACCCAAAACAAAATTTGTGTTGAATGCGCCTAAGGTCCAAATTATGGACTGACTGGTAAACGTCTGGTTGTTGTTACCTAGCAGGAACTTACTATTCACTATAGAGAATAGGAAGTACCTGCTAGCTGCTAGGTAACAACCAGACACTTACCAGTTGGTCCATAGTTTGGCCCTTAAAAAGTTTTCACTTGAAAATTCCATGTTCGTATCTAAAAAATGATAATCTTTTGGGTTTTTCCGGTTTGAACTTGGAGCACTCTGTAATGTGCTTGTGCCACAAACGACATTTTTTTTCTGGAAAAAAAGATAACCCAAAATGCTTAAATTTTTTTTAGAATCACATATATCTCTGTCACTCTAACACACGGTTTCGGCAATTATTTCCGTCTTTGTTGCGGTTGAATAGACTTGCCAAAAATCGCCCCCGCAAATAAAAATTAAGATAAGAAAATAATTCAAAAGCCTGGAATAGGAAAATAATGAAATTAAATAGAGGAAACAATGTATTTTAACTTGTGATAAATTATTAAAAATTCAAATTTTCCACGTTTGGGCAACGTGACTAGCGCCATCTAACAAATCAAAGCAAAAGCTATCTGAAATTTTTCCATATAAAATGGATATCAGAGTAAAGAAAGGCCTTCTAAATTCAAACGGCCACAAAACAAGATAATTTCTAATTCATTCAATAGGAAATAAACTCAAATTCATCTCCTCTTTAATATTGCTATCAAAAAATCAATTTTTTTAAAAAAAATCTACTAGCGCCATCTATCAACCAGAAGCCAAAACTGCAAGTTAATCTTTAAATGACCATCAAATGTTAATTTAGAGCAAATATGAAATAAGAGGCTCCAAATTTGGATTAAGAGCCATAGAAACTTTCCATATTAATTACTATTGCTGGAAGTAAAGTTTTAAAAATTAATTAAAACTTGCTCTCATCTCAAGTAACTCAAAAAGTTTTGAATTAATTATTGCGACTTTAACAATTTACAAAAACTTTTCTCAATTAAAAGTCGTTAAAATTACAAAAATTATTTATTCAAATTAACAAATTCCCAATTAATTCGAAATTCCCGCAAATATTTTTTTATCCAATTGACGTATCCGTTCAATGATCCATCATCCCCACCCCGGAAAAAAAACCAGCGAAAGACAAATGAGATTTTTATGCAGAGTTTGTTTGTGATTTTTTCCGCCGTTAACTTTATTTAATTAATTTCGCTCGTTGGCGCTCGTTTCTTGTCGTTCTAATGCCGAAATCCGTAAACTAGACACCCGAAAATGGTCCAGGTAAGTCACAGTTTGCCTCAATAATGTATTTGAAGCTGGAAAAACGAATTTGAAAAGTTTCATTTTTCTTTTTAAAGAAATCCGGCCATAGATTTTTATGGAATCGATTAGCAATGTTGCCAGATTTTGTGTAATTTTTCTTGCTGTCTTTGTTGCACTTATGCTATATTGATGAAGTGTGGCAACGTTGTTGGTGCAACATAACCTCAAAAAAATTTTGTTTCATTATTTTTTTTTCATTTTTTTTTTTTGGTTTTTTTTCACAAGGCCCTAGACTACTGCAAAATGACCCCACACAAGGACTTGCCCCAAGCCCTGGTGCTGCTAAACGAAATGAACCTGAGCGCCCAACATGTAGCCACACTAGTCGACAGCATGATACAAAAAGTACGAAAAGGTGAATTGTCCACCGAGCAAGGCCTGAGTTTCCTCGAAGTCAAATACAACATGCTGCTGAGCTACTTAATCAACTTGACTTACATAGTTTTGCGTAAATGTTCTGGAGAGCAAATAGAGTGCGACCCTTGCATTGACAGACTAATCGAATTGAGGACAGTTTTGGAAAAAATCAGGCCTATTGATCATAAATTGAAATACCAAATTGATAAGTTGGTCAAGACGGCGGTGACTGGGGCCAGTGCTGGAGGAGACGCTACCGCCTTTAAGGCAAACCCTTTGAATTTGATGGAGAAAGACGGAGAGGACTTGGAGGAGAGCGAGAGCGAGGAGGAAGATAAGTTGGAGAAAGTTGGGAAAAGTAAAAGTGGGGTTTATGTGCCCCCTAAAATGGCCGCTGTACATTATACAGGTGAGAACTTTTTTTTTGTATTTCATAAAGCAGAAAAAATTGTTGTTTTATTTATGTCCCTTACCCTTATGTTCGAGTACTTATACCAAAATATTCACGGAGAAAAAAAACACTCTGTAGTTTGTATGGATACCTATTTCCTCTATTATTTAATAAAAAATATTTACTATTTACTCTCATCCTCATTGTTCCTTAGAATTCTATGTAATTTCTTCAAATTCCAAGCAAGTCATTTTTCTAGAATCACAATTCAATTAAGTAAATTGATTTCATAAAATTTCAAATTTTTTTTTGTTGAGATTTTGTATCCTAATGGTGAATCAACATACCCCAAACTCCATACACTAAATTATTCTCAGATTTGAAGCCGAAATCTATAAAAAAAGGCACTCAGAAAAATTGAAAAATTGATAAATCACCCCAATAATTGCTTAACACGATTTTATCTCAGGAACTATAAGTGCAAATGAGCTGAAATTTTCAGGGATTGTAGTCCTTTGAAAGGGATAAAATTCAGTGAAAGATTCAGTTTTCTATCTATAATAGAAAAAAAGTTATGACCTTTCAAAGTTTTCCAAAATCTAAATCATAAGGTAGCTACCTTCTTACTAAAACGATGAAATTTTTAAATTTTTTTTGTGGAGATTTTGTATCCTAATGGTCATTCAACATTCCCCAAACTACATACACTAAATTATTCTCAGATTTGAAGCCGAAATCTATGAAAAAAAGCACTCAGAAAAATGGATAAATCACCCCAATAATTGCTTAACACGATTTTATCTCAGGAACTATAAGTGCAAATGAGCTGAAATTTTCAGGGATTATAGTCCTTTGAAAGGGATAAAATTCAGTGAAAGATTCAGTTTTCTATCTATAATAGAAAAAAAGTTATGACCTTTGAAAGTTTTCCAAAATCTAAATCATAAGGTAGCTACCTTCTTACTAAAACGATGAAATTTCAATTTTTTTTCTGTTGAGATTTTGTATCCTAATGGTCATTTAACATCCCCCAAACTCCATACACTAAATTATTCTCAGATTTGAAGCCGAAATCTATGAAAAAAGGCACTCAGAAAAATTGAAAAATTGATAAATCACCCCAAATTGCTTAACGCGATTTTATCTCAGGAACTATAAGTGCAAATGAGCTGAAATTTTCAGGGATTGTAGTCCCTTGATTGGGATAAAATTCAGTGAAAGTTTCAGCTTTCTATCTATAATAGAAAAAAAGTTATGACCTTTGAAAGTTTTCCAAAATCTAAATCATAAGGTAGCTACCTTCTTACTAAAACGATGAAATTTTTAATTTTTTTTTGTGGAGATTTTGTATCTTAATGGTCATTCGACATCCCCCAAAGTCCATACACTAAATTATTCTCAGATTTGAAGCCGAAATCTATAAAAAAAGGCACTCAGAAAAATTGAAAAATTGATAAATCACCCCAAATTGCTTAACACAATTTTATCTCAGGAACTATAAGTGCAAATGAGCTGAAATTTTTAGGGATTGTAGTCCTTTGAAAGGGATAAAATTCAGTGAAAGATTCAGTTTTCTATCTATAATAGAAAAAAAGTTATGACCTTTCAAAGTTTTCCAAAATCTAAATCATAAGGTAGGTACCTTCTTACTAAAACGATGAAATTTCAAATTTTTTTTTGTGGAGATTTTGTGTCTCAATGATCATTCAACATTCCCCAAACTACATACACTAAATTATTCTCAGATTTGAAGCCGAAATCTATGAAAAAAGGCACTCAGAAAAATTGAAAAATTGATAAATCACCCCAAATTGCTTAACGCGATTTTATCTCAGGAACTATAAGTGCAAATGAGCTGAAATTTTCAGGGATTGTAGTCCCTTGATTGGGATAAAATTCAGTGAAAGTTTCAGCTTTCTATCTATAATAGAAAAAAAGTTATGACCTTTGAAAGTTTTCCAAAATCTAAATCATAAGGTAGCTACCTTCTTACTAAAACGATGAAATTTCAATTTTTTTTCTGTTGAGATTTTGTATCCTAATAGTCATTTAACATCCCCCAAACTCCATACACTAAATTATTCTCAGATTTGAAGCCGAAATCTATGAAAAAAGGCACTCAGAAAAATTGAAAAATTGATAAATCACCCCAAATTGCTTAACGCGATTTTATCTCAGGAACTATAAGTGCAAATGAGCTGAAATTTTCAGGGATTGTAGTCCCTTGATTGGGATAAAATTCAGTGAAAGTTTCAGCTTTCTATCTATAATAGAAAAACAGTTATGACCTTTGAAAGTTTTCCAAAATCTAAATCATAAGGTAGGTACCTTCTTACTAAAACGATGAAATTTTTAATTTTTTTTTGTGGAGATTTTGTATCCTAATGGTCATTCGACATCCCCCAAAGTCCATACACTAAATTATTCTCAGATTTGAAGCCGAAATCTATAAAAAAAGGCACTCAGAAAAATTGAAAAATTGATAAATCACCCCAAATTGCTTAACACAATTTTATCTCAGGAACTATAAGTGCAAATGAGCTGAAATTTTTAGGGATTGTAGTCCTTTGAAAGGGATAAAATTCAGTGAAAGATTCAGTTTTCTATCTATAATAGAAAAAAAGTTATGACCTTTCAAAGTTTTCCAAAATCTAAATCATAAGGTAGGTACCTTCTTACTAAAACGATGAAATTTCAAATTTTTTTTTGTTGAGATTTTGTGTCTCAATGATCATTCAACATTCCCCAAACTACATACACTAAATTATTCTCAGATTTGAAGCCGAAATCTATAAAAAAAGGCACTCAGAAAAATTGAAAAATTGATAAATCACCCCAAATTGCTTAACGCGATTTTATCTCAGGAACTATAAGTGCAAATGAGCTGAAATTTTCAGGGATTGTAGTCCCTTGATTGGGATAAAATTCAGTGAAAGTTTCAGCTTTCTATCTATAATAGAAAAAAAGTTATGACCTTTGAAAGTTTTCCAAAATCTAAATCATAAGGTAGCTACCTTCTTACTAAAACGATGAAATTTCAATTTTTTTTCTGTTGAGATTTTGTATCCTAATAGTCATTTAACATCCCCCAAACTCCATACACTAAATTATTCTCAGATTTGAAGCCGAAATCTATGAAAAAAGGCACTCAGAAAAATTGAAAAATTGATAAATCACCCCAAATTGCTTAACGCGATTTTATCTCAGGAACTATAAGTGCAAATGAGCTGAAATTTTCAGGGATTGTAGTCCCTTGATTGGGATAAAATTCAGTGAAAGTTTCAGCTTTCTATCTATAATAGAAAAACAGTTATGACCTTTGAAAGTTTTCCAAAATCTAAATCATAAGGTAGGTACCTTCTTACTAAAACGATGAAATTTTTAATTTTTTTTTGTGGAGATTTTGTATCCTAATGGTCATTCGACATCCCCCAAAGTCCATACACTAAATTATTCTCAGATTTGAAGCCGAAATCTATAAAAAAAGGCACTCAGAAAAATTGAAAAATTGATAAATCACCCCAAATTGCTTAACACAATTTTATCTCAGGAACTATAAGTGCAAATGAGCTGAAATTTTTAGGGATTGTAGTCCTTTGAAAGGGATAAAATTCAGTGAAAGATTCAGTTTTCTATCTATAATAGAAAAAAAGTTATGACCTTTCAAAGTTTTCCAAAATCTAAATCATAAGGTAGGTACCTTCTTACTAAAACGATGAAATTTCAAATTTTTTTTTGTTGAGATTTTGTGTCTCAATGATCATTCAACATTCCCCAAACTACATACACTAAATTATTCTCAGATTTGAAGCCGAAATCTATAAAAAAAGGCACTCAGAAAAATTGAAAAATTGATAAATCACCCCAAATTGCTTAACGCGATTTTATCTCAGGAACTATAAGTGCAAATGAGCTGAAATTTTCAGGGATTGTAGTCCCTTGATTGGGATAAAATTCAGTGAAAGTTTCAGCTTTCTATCTATAATAGAAAAAAAGTTATGACCTTTGAAAGTTTTCCAAAATCTAAATCATAAGGTAGCTACCTTCTTACTAAAACGATGAAATTTCAATTTTTTTTCTGTTGAGATTTTGTATCCTAATAGTCATTTAACATCCCCCAAACTCCATACACTAAATTATTCTCAGATTTGAAGCCGAAATCTATGAAAAAAGGCACTCAGAAAAATTGAAAAATTGATAAATCACCCCAAATTGCTTAACGCGATTTTATCTCAGGAACTATAAGTGCAAATGAGCTGAAATTTTCAGGGATTGTAGTCCCTTGATTGGGATAAAATTCAGTGAAAGTTTCAGCTTTCTATCTATAATAGAAAAACAGTTATGACCTTTGAAAGTTTTCCAAAATCTAAATCATAAGGTAGGTACCTTCTTACTAAAACGATGAAATTTTTAATTTTTTTTTGTGGAGATTTTGTATCCTAATGGTCATTCGACATCCCCCAAAGTCCATACACTAAATTATTCTCAGATTTGAAGCCGAAATCTATAAAAAAAGGCACTCAGAAAAATTGAAAAATTGATAAATCACCCCAAATTGCTTAACACAATTTTATCTCAGGAACTATAAGTGCAAATGAGCTGAAATTTTTAGGGATTGTAGTCCTTTGAAAGGGATAAAATTCAGTGAAAGATTCAGTTTTCTATCTATAATAGAAAAAAGTTATGACCTTTCAAAGTTTTCCAAAATCTAAATCATAAGGTAGGTACCTTCTTACTAAAACGATGAAATTTCAAATTTTTTTTTGTTGAGATTTTGTGTCTCAATGATCATTCAACATTCCCCAAACTACATACACTAAATTATTCTCAGATTTGAAGCCGAAATCTATGAAAAAAGGCACTCAGAAAAATTGAAAAATTGATAAATCACCCCAAATTGCTTAACGCGATTTTATCTCAGGAACTATAAGTGCAAATGAGCTGAAATTTTCAGGGATTGTAGTCCTTTGAAAGGGATAAAATTCAGTCAAAGTTTCAGCTTTCTATCTATAATAGAA